CGGCGTTCGGAAGTCGAATCGACCGGTGTTGTTGTTCGACGTTTGGAAGTTCGAGACGATTGGAAGATCGAGATGATATGGGTACGGTATATGTAGTGATCAAAAGTCGAAGCAAATTGTTACAAACACGATAAGTTCACAATAATGATTACAAACGCAACTGTTTCGCTTCCAAGTGGATATTATTCGTTGTTCTGAAAGAAAATTGTTCTGAAAGAATATATTATTGTAATAATTATATGCTGCATTCTCTCATCACAATCGACCTTCTCCACTCGTGTGTCCAGACCACCCACATCCACTTTTCCTCACCCAAGCGTTGTGTCGTCGCGGTCTCGATCTTAGTCTCTCGTTTCTGCACTTTTGGGAGTAACCAGGCGACAGCCCGGATGTGCGGACGGCGAAGAAACTGGTCTTGGACCTCTTGGACGAGCTGAGCTCCTCCAAAAGCGGCGCTGCCGCGCGCGAGCGCCGAGCCTCGGCCGCAGCGGTGCCCGCTGCGCCGAGCGGGGAGTGGTTTGGGGGCGGCGAAGCCGGTGGAGGGCTTGAAAGGAGCCCTGTTTTGGACTCGCCTTGTTTGGCAGTGTCGAGCCAGTTTTTGGCAGGTGAACTGAAGCAAACGCTTCTTTCAGAGGGAAGAATCCTCTTGGCCTCCATCTTTCTTAAGACATGAGCTTCCTTTTTTTTGCCAATCAAGTCAGCTGATCGATAGAAACCCACTAAGACCCAAAAAGCCGTTTAGGAGCTCCTGTGCCAGCGATGTTGGGCCACACTGGAAAGCATTCAGAGCGGTGAAAGGCGAAGAGCGGTCGGAACGGCTCTTCACTCTCCCAAGGATCTCAACCACTGACCACTGAAGTGTGACGAACTGCGAACACATCCGAACACCCACTCGATCCAACAGAAAGAATGCCGAAGCATCTGCGTTTGCGTTGGGTTTTTTCTTCCTGGAGCACCTGGCTCAGGTGAGTGATGTCAAACATGTCAAGCACTCCTGGGAACACATTCACATGGAAGGTGGAGTGAAAACCCACCTGTTTGGTCTTCGGAAAAGGGTCGCCATCCACGTTGCCGCATGATGATTCCAGGGGAGTGTGATACCAATGATTCACGGTTCTTCCACTTGGCTTGTATACCTCCCACCATGATGCCACCCTTTTTTCCGTTCTCTTCCGTTCTCGGCTTCTTATCCCCCCAACCCAAACGAAAGACGTCCACCTTCCGAGCCTTCCGAGCCCTAGCCAGCTCCCTCCGAAGGCGGGGAGGATGGCTCCGTGGAGGAGTCCTTGGCCGTTCCCGTGGGTCGCATTGGACACCTCATCGGCAAGGCGAGCCGCGAGCTGACCTGGGAAGCCTTGGCGGAAGCCTTGAGCGGGTCGGAGCGAGTCTGGAATCCAGACAAGGCTTTGAAAGGCAAACAGAGGTTTGACCCTCTCAGATAGAACCCCTCTAGTTAGATCTTCAGAGGTTTGACCCTCCATGGTCGGGGCTTTTGAAATCAACCAGATCATGTGGCGCCGGCTTGCTTCGGTGGCCAACGTGGAGACCGAGGGCGTCGACTCGGATGCTTCTCAGGATGTGACGAAGCCGGGGGTCGTCGATGTCAAGCCGGAGTTCCTGCAGAGTTCCCGGTGGACCACGGAAAATGAACAGAACAAACATGAACAAGCTAATTCCCAACGTTATCTAATATATTACTATTACTGTTAGTTTTACTATTACTATTGATATTATCCAGGTATATATGTGAATCCTGATTCCTTGGAGTGGATACTATCCGTTTGTTCCTTCCCAGTGAAAAGGAAACTGCCCCGAGAAAACGGTCCAACGGTCCGTTCCGTTCGCTTTTCACCAGGGTGGTAAGAACATCCAAGACTTGGAAAAGCTGACTGGTGCAAGACTGCGTGTGGCTTTGTTTGCGCTTGATGCAGACTGGGATGATTTTTGTGGGAAGTTGTGAAAACATCCGATCAGATGACAACATCTTCGCTATAGGGAGTGGTGAATCCCTGTTTTTCACTTGGGAAGCTTGAAAGATGTGGTGAATCCCTAAGGGTCGCGCCATTTTTGGGGCTCCACCCGATTTCATCCGGACATCATCCAGTCAAGACTTCTCAGCTCGTAGTGGCTCGGCTCGGCTTACAGGGTGGGTGGGAAACCCAGTGCGGTGAACACGGGGTCCATGGGCGAAGGACGGCTCCCTGGGCCGTGCCCTTTCGGCCATTTCGGCCCGGCCCGGACGGCAGGTTCAAACACACGGTGCGGTTTTTTTTCTGCCGAACTGGATGCCTCAAAGAATGGATGTTTGTTCATGTGTGTCAGGGGTTTGAACACCTTTAGATGGTTTCCTACTGAAGATGTGCATGTGAACGCACACGTCGTACTACTCGAGTTTGGGGCGCATGACTCCTTCCGGGTGGTTCCAATGGCGCTGGGTGCTTTGGGCCGAAACACCGACACCGCCGCATGTCGTGCGGACGTTGGACCGCCAGAGTGCATCCCTTCCGCTGTGAAAGGCAGGCCGTCGGATTGAGACCATGACAGGTCTCAAGCATGTGGCCCTTTCCAAGTTCGCATACAGGATGGATAGGGTAGGACCTGGGAGTTCAATGCCCAAGTTCGAGAAAGTTCTATGACCAAGTGACCAAGTCAGTCCTCGTAGCTGTCCAAGTCAGTCCTCGTATGACTTTTGGCATCTCGCAATGAGACGATAATGCACACTGCAACGGAGAGACCTGTTTCTGGCTGTTGTTCCGTATGCACGAACCATTTCACGCCTGAAAACGAGTTGGAATCGGAACGAATAAACAACGCCCAAATCCTCCAGAAGCCGGAGGCCTAAAAAGATCAGACAACCTTAAAAGAGATTGAACAGCCCTAGATAGCCGATAGCCAATCTCATATGTACCACAACAGCGTCCTAGTTCAGGTCTCTCAACCTATTTGGGACTTGACTTTGTCTCCGCTGTCTCCGCTGTCTCCTAGGTCTTGCCGGCCGCGAATGACGAGGAGGACGAGCAACGGCTCTTGGTCTCCGGTACACCCAAAGCCGTTGAGCTGCTCGACGCCCAAAGCTGTGCCGTCCTTCATCGAGTCGAACCGCGCGCAGAAGCGAAGGACGGTTGGGTGGACATGACCTGCTCCGCCCTTGACCACTGTACCTGACCCATCGATCCAGTCTCCGACTTCCTGAAAACCGATAAAAAAACGATGGTTTTGGGGTATAACCAGCTCCAGTGAAGCGGTGTCAGGCAACCTGACCTGTAGGGCTGCGTTTGGAAAGAAGGTGGCGGCTTCCGTGAAACAGGGTGCAGTTTTGGGGATTCATTGTGTCTTCTTGGCTTCGTATCAAATGCACCGTGGTCGTTCTGCAACCACTCAACACACAACCTGGTTTGACCTACTCAGATATATAACATAGTGGCTTTAACTTACTTTTTGGCCGGATTGAACATGAACAGGCGGGACAAGGTTAGGCTACCAAAAAGGAACATATCTCCAAAGTTAACCTCTGAAAGTGGAGGTTTGTTCCTACACAAATGGCACAAGATGAGTTTCACACAGGGAGGATATGACTTTCCTGCTGATGTTTGCAGAGTCTGGTGTGTGGACTCCAAAATCACCGAATCACAACCAGGGCGCCCAAAGCAAAGTGTTCTTCACCCCACCTCACCCTTGGTCCAAAACGCGTCCGTCCGTGGTTTTTGACCTGGCTGAGTCTGGCAAAGAAGCACTTGCGGAAGTACATTCCCACCCTGCCGGACGAAGTGACCGCCTCAGGCAGGTCTCCAACGCGGTGTCGGTCGGGTGAACTCGGAAGTTGTGAGTTCGGAAGTGGAAGGGGAAAAGAGTGCGGACCTCCGGGGTCTTCGGGTATATCCTGGTGTTTTGTGATATCTCTTTTTTGTTTTTTTGCGGTTCCTTTTTTTCTTCCCCGCTACTTAATTAAGTAAGCGCCTGCTTAATTCAGTAAGGGACAAACTAGACTTAACTTATAAGCCACTAGAAACTTGTTCGCTCCTAGCTAGGACGCAGGATCGCTCATGCACTAATGATTTGGTTCCTAGATCTTTAGGGAAACTTATATACTGTAACTTAATAGCTGAGTCTGTGTGCGTATCCTGATTTGAGTTGGTTACTTTGTATTTGGACCCTCCCAACAAGTCTCCATCAACCGTTTGAGTGTGTGTTAACAAGCATTTGTATGCATCTTGGTGGAATTTAAGGAAGCTTGTTGTTTGTCGCGGACATTTGTGCTTCGCCTGGGTGGAAGAACTGCTTCGCGGGTCCAGAAGAGATTTATGTTTTTGCGCAAGTGGACTGATCTCCCCGAAACACGACATTCAGCAGACGCAGCTTTCACGCTCTTTCAGGAAACTAGATAAATGAGGAACTCAGGGTTTCCATCTCCTGTATGATCAGTTATATATACTCGCTTTCATAGTTTTGAAAAATACTTCCCATATCATCCAAAGTGTGTCCATGTTTCCATGCCCGCTGCTTCATTTTCCTTGGATCATTTTGGATCCCATTGTAGTCCCCAGTACCGTTGCGCCAAGAGCGCTTGTAGAAAAAAGTGCACAGCAGCATGGGCTGTGCATGGAGAATGGTCAGAGCCCAAAGGCCCAGAGGCCCAGATGTTGATGACGAAGAGCCTGAAGAATCAAACCATGGACACATTGTCAGTGTTTTGGGACTTTTCCTTTGCGCAAGACTGGCCTGGCAAGAGCACGATTTCTTTGAGCCCACCGGGGACAGTGAAAAGAGGCTTATTTGGCGGGGGCTGACAACTTGCGCTGGATGTTTGAATGATGTTTAGACGTTTTGGGACTGACCTCTCCTTCTCATCGGTTCATCAGTCTCACTTTGAGGTCTAGACTCGGCTCAACAAACCGATCTACAGCAGAGTTGAGACAAGTGCACATGACCCAGCCCAGGTGTGTAACAGACTATACACATCAAACAGTGGCTTTGGAAGGATTCATGAGGATTCTAATCTTCGACTTTGACCGAAACCATCCACTCCAGTCCCATGACCGACACCAACAGTCCCCCGCGTTCCCTCGATGCAGGCGTCCCTGAGCGCCGTAAGACGGAGACGGCCGCCGAACCACCGGCAGAACCGTCGCCGGGGGAGAGCTTGCGGGGCCGACGCGCACAGGCAGCAGAGGCAGGGGAGAGCCGTTGGCAAAACAGTTTTTCAGACTCTGAGATCTGATGAGAAAGCAAAACCATGTGTTTTTTTTGTTGGGGTACGTTTCACTTGTACGAGTAGAAAGCTTTGCAGCGTCTTGATGTGTTGCAAGTCTTTGATCCAGATAAGAAAAGAGATGAGCTATATTTCAGAACCATTACCATTAAGCCCAGAGTTACACCTTGGCAAGGAGCATGTTCTTCCACAAGAAAGGGAGCCTTCATCTTGCCAAGCTGCAGCCACACCTAACCGTAACTCCGACCTGACTTCACTGAGGTCTTGGAGGCTGCTGGCCGAGCACGGAACTCGCTGAAGGAAGTGGCCAGAAGTCGCAGCAGTGGCTCGGTCCGACCGACTGATGCGACTCGATGCGACTCGATGTCCGACCCCGGAGCGAACACTGGAATGGAGCGTGGTTTCTTGATGTTTCCTTTTAATTGGCGTGTAAAGGTTTTTATACAACCCTAGGGCTCCAAGTACCTTCTAAAAAGGTGTTTGGGGTGGAAAGAGAAAGAGAGTACATGCGTCATAGATTGATGTAGATTTGGTGCCACTGGACTGAAGCGACCTTGTTTTGCGAAGTTGGCAGAAGGTGCAGTTCAATCATAAGGGCAGGCAGAGCATGTCCTGAATGTAGCCGGCTGGGTTATATCATTTGAAACACATGTTCAGGTATGGGATCACTTGCATGATTCAAGCCATAGTGGGCCAAGTCCAAGAACGATGTATTTGCGTGGGGACATGCCATGACATGCTTGCGGAAAAAGCCCCACATCAGATGCCAGGTGCCTGTTGTCCAACACGTGGCATCAAAACATGGCATCAAAACATGGACCCGGCAGAGCTGCTCGGTCATTCATCTTCAACCCCGTAACCAACTGCTTCTTCGCTTTTGGAAGGCCAACGCCACCCTGGCGGCCGGAGCGCCGCGATATCTGCGACTGCGACTGCGACGAATCGGTACCATCGTCTGACGGGTGCGTGGTGAGGCGCATGAGTTGTCCAAGGAGCAACACCTGATAACTGGAGGATTCGTCATCATGACGTGACCAGACCCAGGGGCACGCCGCTGCCTGTCCTGGACTCCACCATGGCCACCTGCTTTGTCTTCAATTGGAACCATGGTGGCGCGCAGCGCTTTCAGGAGTGGGCCATTCTCCTGAACGATGGCACCATCAGATTTAGACACAAGACCAAGAGATGCACTTCACGAGGCCCAAACAAAATCACAGCAGGCACAGCAGCTCAGACTGGAACGCAAATCTAAAGGATTGAAATGCAAAAGTCGGCAGTGCAAGCACTCAGAAGAGCCATTGGAGACAAAGGTAGACGAAGGGAGACGAAGCAGAACCATCTCAGCCCACCATCCACCATGGGAGAAGCAGAGAAAGGGAGACAAAGCAGAATCATCTTAGCCCAGCATTCCAGCATCCAGAAGACGAGCCATGGCAGATAAAGGGGAACCAAGCAAGACAAAAGGAGAAATGGGTACAGAAGGCCAGAAATCATCTTGGCCTCGGATTGTTTCTATGCAAGAATTGAGAACTCCTCTGGCGAATGAAGCCCTCAAGCTCGTCAAGTCCTCACTTCATCTATGCCATGAGTTTAAAGTGTAAAGACATCCAGACCGTCGGGTCGTTCGAAGCAAACCGTCGGTCGCCCGAGGCTCCACGTCTTCGCGCACGCGGGTGAAGCGGCTTCGGGAGCGGAAGAAAGGCATCAGCTTGGAGGAGACTTTTCCGAGTGGCAAGTAGCTTTGAAGGGCGTAGGGACCAAGGGGTAGTTTGAAGAAGACGTGCAGTGTGCAGACCTGTCAAAAAGCATGAATAGCACCCCATGAACACTACGAAAGATCATTTGAGAGACGCCAACGAACAGCTCCATGCGGCTGCGAAGAACATGTACATCAGAGAATGACGGCACCCCTTCACCCTTAAAGATGAGCTATCAGTGACTGAGCCACAGATCAAGCTTTATAAAAGGGTCCACAAACTCAATCAAGTTCAGCCAGATGCCTTGCCACCGATGGTTGATGGAGTAGCATAAACACAGCACAGCTACGCACAGCTAGGGGATTTTAATGTCCCTTACCTGCTGTACCGAGTCCATTTGCTAAAGATGACGGCAAACCACCTCGCGACACGTGGCTAGGAGTACCAGGTGATGCTCCGCAAGCAGAAGGAGTTGGATGCCGCCGCAGCCAAGGCACCAGCGCAACACAAGCAAAACAAGGAGGCATAGGGTGCATCCTCATCACGAAAGCTAGCCTTAGCTAGCTGGAGTCGCTCTTGCTTTAGCAAGTTAAGTGACGGGGTGGACGCACCTCAGAAACCTCAAATAATTGATTAAATCAATCTTATGGACCCCCCCCCCT